GAGCCCATAGTACTTATGACAGCATGCACAAGACCTGTGCAAACCCAGGCTAGACAAAAACTCAGCATGGCAGAGGTGGGCAGGAAGCCCCAAACCTAGCTGAGGGTCTTTTGGCAATTGAGAGATGCTAGGGAGGGAAACTCAGTTTTCCTTACTGGTGTGATGCCTGGTACGCTGACCAGCACCCAAGAGCATTTAGGAAACACAGATTAGACTCATTATGCCTTCAAAACAAAACAAAACAAAACAAAACAACAAAAAACAAATAATAGAGAACATGAAGTGGGGAGGGACTCTGAAAACCATCAAAATACATTATATGAAATTTTCCAATCAATAAAAACATTAAAAAATTTTTCCTTGTTGGAAAGTTTATAAAACCCTGAGCTAGAAAAGCAGTCTTCTTACATTTAAGTACATGGAGGACAGCATCATTGGGTGAGGGGGTGGTTATGGGGCGCATTTCACGGTCTTATTCTTCTAACCTTGACTACAAGTTACATTGTCTCTCTATGTTTCTATTCCCTGACTACAAAATGAGAACTGTAATCTGGCCTTTTTCCTGGATTGTTGTAAATACTGAATGTGATTCTCAGAGAGCGTTGCAGAGTGTGCGCAGTGTAGCAGGAACACCCACACACTCACAAAACCAAAGCCTGCATTTCCAGTTATGCTCGTTCTCAAAAGCCTGTGCTTCCACTAAGGCGTAACACCTCTGTGCTTTTGTTAATGTATCAACTTTGAATTCAAATAATATTTCTTTTCAGAACTACAATAAAATAAGCAGAGATAATTGTGTTCTTATTTTGTCCTTCAAGTCTACAGATAAACTCCCAAAAACACCCACATTTACCACAGTATTACTACAGAATCCAGGAGTTAATCTCTCACATCAGCTATTGCATATTAACACCCATAATGTGCCCGTATTTCTAGGCCCAACATAACCTATAAGAGCCTTAAGGTAAATAACCATATTCTTTTATTCAGTACCCATCAGCATCTTACACAAGGCCCAAGCAATAGACACTTTCAACATATAGTGAAAAGACAGATGAATAGAAGCAGAGGTTTGGAGGAAATAGCTGAGCTCTAATCCTATCATCCATGTGGATATTACAACCCAGACTAGGAAGGCAAGTACTGAACAGAGAGGAAAAGCATAGATTAAAATTTCATGTTACCAGGGTTGGAGAAGTGGTTCAGTTGTTAGAGCTGATGGTTCTTGCAAAGAGCACTGGCTACTCCAGCAGAGGACCAAAGTTCAGTTCCCAGCATCCCATGGAAGCTAACAACCATTTCTATCAACTCCAGTTCCAGGGGATCCAATGTCCTCTTCTGGCCTCTGTAGGCATTGCACATACAGGTGCACTTACACACATGTAGGCAAAAGACTTATACACATAAAATAAAAATTAAAAAATATTTCACAAAATCATGTTACCTTAACCATATACACCTGCGTTCTTTTCTTAGGGCACAGTACAAACTATACTCACCAACTATAAAGGCAATGCATAAAGACAAATACTTCGGCGTCTCTCCTTGTTTCTTTCTCAAGTTTACCTCACAGGATAGATGATCGATTCTCTGGACTAAGTGGGATCACTGTCTAAAGACCACTCTGACTTTCTCAAAGATTAACTCTTGAGCAGTGGTTTTGAACCTGAGGCATCTTTATAACTAGCAATGCCAAAATGTACATTCTCATTCAATAGTTGTATGAAGTGTAGTTATTATTAGGTATTACTTTAAGAAACAATTTCATAAAAACAACGGGCTGTTCCTTAGTTTCATTTCCTGTTACTATGATAATATACCCTGAGAAATCACCTTAATGGAAAAGGCATATATTTGGCTCACAATCCAGATTACAGTCCGTCATTTCAGGGGAATCAAGGTGGCAAGAACTTAAGCAGCTAGTCTCACGACATCCACATCAAGTTCAGAGCAACAAATGCAGAATGCATGCTGGTATTCAGCCCTTTTTCTCCGTTTCATCCTTTCAAGACTCAGCCTATGGCATGAGTCTTCAGGGTGAGTCTTCCCACCTCAGTTAACCCGATTAAGAACACCTCTCACAAGTACATTCAGAGGCCCATCTCCCGGGTAATTCTAGTTTTTTTTCAGGTTGAATATAGGCTATTTTAGTCAGGCTTATCCGGAGAAACAGAAGTGATAGGATAGATGAACAGATGATAGAGAGATGGTTGGTAGACAGAGAGATGGATAGATGATGAGAAATGCTTCAGAAGAATTGGCTCTTAAAATTATGGAGGCTGAGACTCAATCCCACAATATGCCTCCCATAGCTAGAAAACTAGGAAGGCGATAGTGTGGCTTATTTCAAATTGGAAAGCCCCAGAACAGAGAATACTAATGATATAATTTCAGGTGTAAAGCTAAAGGCCTGAAAGCTAGGCAGCCACTGGTGTACATCCTGGAACAAAGGATGGAGATTTTGGAGTTCCAATGACTGAGGACAATGGGAATATGCATCCTGCCTCTGGAAGAGAAAGAGTAAATTCACCTTTCCCTGAGTTTTCAGTGTCTGTCCATGTTTTCCTTATTCACTTCATTGGCTCAAAGGCCAATCCTTACCAGAAGTACCTTGAAAACACAGAGAAATAATGTTTCGTCAGCCGTCTATCTCTTATGCCAGTCAAGGTAACACCTGAAATTGACCATCACATGGGCAATATTTAATACCGGAGAGAGAGAGAGAGAGAGATTTTATAGTATACTAGTATGCCTCAAGTTTGATTGTGCATTAAAAAGACCCAGGAAGGGTTGGAGAGATGGCTCAGTAGTTAACAACATTGACTCATCTTCCAGAGGATCGGGTTCAATTCCCAGCACCCACGTGGCATGGCAGCTAACAACTGTCTGTAACTCCAGTTCCAGAGGTCCAGTGCCCTCTTCTGGCCTCTGCAGGCATTGCATGCATGTGGTGCACTTGCATGCATGCAGGAAAAAACACTCATACACATAAAATAAAAAAATTAAATCAAAAAGCATTTTTTTAAGATCCAGGAAGTTTTTAAAAACATATAATACCAGATCAACTATCTTTTAAAAATATTTTATTTAGTATTTTTATTTTATGTATATGAGTCCCTGCATTATGTAAGTACATCTGCATCCTACAGTGCCCCAGAGGTCAGAAGAGGATGTCAGATCCCTTGGAACTGGAGTTATGGATGGTGAGCTGACATATGGGTGCTGAGAACTGAACTCAGATCCTGTGCAAGAGCAGCCAGTGCTCTCAACTCTGAGCCATCTCTCTAGACCCTCAACCATCACTTTCAATTCCTGCCTTATAGTTAATCGGAATTGGTAGTGGTGATGGGCTAATAATGATTGTCAACCTGACAGGTTCTAGAATTACCTAGTATAAAAATCTCTGAGCATGTCTGTGAGGGAGTTTCTAGATTAATTTAACAAATTGGGAGGCACCATTCCATAAGCTGGTACTCTGGATTGGATAAAAAGGAGAAACCTGAGCACCAGCATCGCCTCTCTCTGCTGCTGACCATGGATGATATGTTGCAGCCAGCTGATGCAAGCTGCTGCCACTGTGATGTGACTTCCCCTCCATGGATGGTGCCCTCCACCTATGAGCAAGTCTTTCTTTCCTTAAGTTGCTTCTGACAGGTATTTTGTTACAGCAACAACGTAAGTAACTAATAAAGGGGAACTTCTGAGTGATTTTTAACATCAGGCTTGTGTGGGAACTACTGACCTACCAGCTTCCCAGGGTCACTCACAGTCTCATCAAAGTCCAAATACAATTTTCAAACTATTACAGGCCAATGACCTGATACGCACTGAAACTGGGAGTATGTCTTAATCCATTTTAAAGCTTCTATTACAAAATACCATAGACTGAGTAACTTATAATCAATATCAATTCATTTCTCAAAGTTACAGCAGTTGGAAAATCTGAGAACACCAGATTGGGTGTCTAGTGAGTCCTCATTATTCCTCTTTGTCTTATCATATTCCAAAGGCTAACATGCTAATACCATCCTATTGATCATTTTCAACAATGAATTTTGTGGGGACACAAACATTCAGACCCTAGAAAAGTGTCTGAAAACTTTTATAACAGTATAACAAATTGTGTAAGTCTATTAAGTCTAGTTTAAAAAAAAAAAAGAGATGGACTAGTGCAAAAGAAGTTGACCTACAAAGGAATATTTCCATGCCTATTCGGGGAAGGTTTCTGAGTAACTACACAGCCCCTCTGGCAATGAGAATATAAGAGACCCCCTTCTTTAAGCTATTAACCTCTTAGAGCTGAAACATTAAGGTCAAGAATTAACTGCTTAGGCAGAGCACTCAAGCACCTGGGTACCACATGGTTAATGAGAAAGAGTGGGGTAGGTGGGGTTACAAACCAGGAACGCATGCCCTCTAAGTCAGTTTGCTTTCTGTTTAATTGCTCTTAAACACACACACACACACACACACACACACACACACACACACACTCACACACTCACACACTCACTCACTCACATAGCACAGAAGGTGAGAGCTGAATGAAGTTTTCTGGGTAATGGTTTGAATGTTTTCCTTATGAGAAGTGGTGTTGAGTTACAGCGTGCAAAGAACTGGGAGGAGAGGAACAGAAGCTCCAACTTGGACCCCACCTTTTCTTGGGCTTGTAGGAAGGTGGACACAGGCTCACAGAAACAAGATGTGGTGAACTGTCTTGTGTCTGAAGTTGACTGCTTCAGGAGTCACCTGGTGCCAGTGTTTACAAGGGTTTGGCCAGGGACAGTGAACAGGCACAGATGCTCTGCTGCAAAATGCCACGCAGGCAGAGACTGACAGGCGGCAGGAGCTGAGTTTTCCCCTTGGACGGCTGTTTCCTGCTGGGTTCAGGGGGGTGGGGGGGGGTAGGGCTTGCTGCTGCTGCTGCTGCTGCTACCTCTGCTGTCTCTCCACTCCAGGTAAGCAGGCTCAGAGGGAGGGCAGGCTACAAGACAAGCTTTTGTACCATGAACAAGATTCGAAAGTTTTTCCGAGGAAGTGGGCGAGTCTTGGCATTTATATTTGTGGCTTCTGTCATCTGGTTGCTCTTTGACATGGCAGCTCTCCGCCTCTCATTCAGTGAGATCAACACTAGGATACTAAAGGAAGACATCATGAGAAGGGAGAAGATAGGATTCAGAGTCCAGCCAGACCAAATGAAGATCCTTTACAGTAACATCAGAGAGATGAGGCCTCCCCAGAAGGGGGCATGGGGTAAGGAGAACTTTAGAAAGACTGAAGAAGGAGAACTCAAGGTTGAAAAGGATGTGGACCAAGCCCGGAGGAAAAGAAAAATGCAGATTGCCTTGCAAAGGGGCAAAGTTGTGCCTTTGTGGCATCCTGCACATCTGCAGACCCTCCCAGTGACTATTACCATGCAGAAGAGGGAGGAGAGAGACAACAAGCCTGAAGTCTCCTCCCACCCTGTGACACCAAAGCAAACAACAGCTTCAGAGTTTCAGAAGACCTCACTTACAGCAGCAAGAGGGATCCTATTGCCCCAGATATCAGTGCTCACAGGATCCTTCACAGCAAATCAAGAGACCCAGAAGAATCACAGCCTCAACAGTGGCACAACAAAAGCAGCATCTAAAAAGGACCTAAATGTGACCATCAATCTCAGGACTGACAAATCAAAGCAGCAATCAGAGGCAACAGCAAATTCTTCTAGGACATTCCCTGCCAACCCACCAATTCTGAAATTTGGGGAAACCGTAGCCATAAATAAAACTCAGGCTCAGAGCAAAGAACTAAATGCATATAAACACAAAATCCATAAAGCCCTTCCTTTTTTCAAGTTCATTACTGATTCAAATCACTTAAAGAAGCAATCTATGAACAAGAAACAGTTGGGAGGTTTGCCAAAGGAGGATGGGGCCAAAGTGGCACCAGGGAAGAAACTCAATTCCTCTGAAAGTCATGCTGTCATTATAACAAAGGAGGGGGACCTGAAGACAGAGACCAAAAAGGTGTTTAAGTCTAAAATCAAAGCTATATTTCCTAAAGTACTGGGTAGAAGCAAAGGTAAACATGTCCCCCAGAACCAAAGAGAGATGTCTTCCCTGCCACCAGCTTTACAGAGAGCTGTGCTATCTCAGAACAAAACCTTATATGGAGGACTGGAGCCAGCAAGAAGCAACTTGACTTCCAAAATCCAGGCTGAGGCACACCAGAAAAGTCACACAAATACCCCTTCATCTGAAAACCCTGGAAGGCACCGTGTGTTGAGAATAGATGTGACACTTTCTCCAAGGGACCCCAAAGCTCCAGGTCAGTTTGGGCATCCTGTAGCTGTTCCCCCTGGAAAGAAAAAGGAGGCAGAACAAAGATGGAAAGAAGGAAACTTCAATGTCTACCTTAGTGATTTGATTCCAGTGGACAGAGCCATTGAAGACACACGGCCTGCTGGGTAAGATCTATTTCTCGTCTTCTTCCTTAAACCCAGTGTTTGGGCTCCTGTGTAGAGAGGATTTATTGCAATTTAATTTTCTGTGAATTTTAGTCATACAGAGAATTAAATCTACATGAATTAATAGGTGCTATCTAAATAGCCTACCATCCACAAAGAGCAAAGCTCTGGTATCAGAAGTGCTCCGTGCTCTCTTCCTGTGCTTGCTTCTCAGCCCTTCTTCCCTCTCAGCTCCGTTTCCTTCTCTTCATTGAAAACTTGTTTAAATAAGTAGAGGAATTAAATTCATAATTATATATATATATATATGGGAAACCGTAAAGTGTAACTTCATATACTGAACATGTAACTTTATAACTGACCACAGAGAAAATTCTTGTGTTGGAAATTTTCAGTGTTCACAAGCTTATCAGGGGTGTATCTGGGAAATGAAGCTGTGTTCATGGAGAAGGGGTCTTCTAACCCTCTCTGGCACTATAACTTAAATTCTGCGTCGTCATGAGTAACGATGACTAGAACAGAAGAGGTGACTTAATCCCCAAGTTTAAAGGTACTATCGGTAGGGATGGCAGACATTTCCTATACACTATTAACACAGGAATAGTAATGATGGGAGAAGTCGCTTGATAATGAGCAAGCATCTGCAGGAGGTTCAGGAGCTGCTGGCAATGATCACATTTACAGTTTAAGCATTTACAGGAATCTTCAAACGTGCAGATGAACTTCATGAGCTTGAGAAAGGAGGGGGCAGGCATTGTGGTTTAAATTAATAGATGAGGGCACATGTGTGTTAGCATCTTTCTGATCTTTCATATTAGAAGCATGTCACTTTCCCACAGTAGTACAGTACCCAAAGCTGCCCAATGGACTTTTATAATCCACTTCTTCAAACAATTAAATTCCTTAACTACATCATCAGAATGTGGATCAAATCACCAATGTGATTCAAATACAGTTTAGTTTCTGACCCTCTTTGGTATACTTGTAAGTGCAGGTTTGTAGCCAAATGTTCATTGCCCACTAATTAATACTACAGAACCAATCCCAACTTGATGTTCAGTTCCCTGAGCCAAACCATGATTGCCTGAAGCTGGAATTAGGAAATGCCAAAACTGAAACTTTAAGCAAATGTGGTATGTAAACAGTGGCCTTCTGTGGCTTCTGCAGAAAATTCTTCTTTGGAATCCAGGAGGTCAGACCAAAGTTTCAGACAGTGTTATTAGAGAGAAGACTTGTACAGATGAACCCTTATTCATGTTGGCAAGAGAAACCTCTTCATTGAGATGGCTACAGTGAAGACGTTTCAGTCTCTCGGCCATTGGCATATGGCTGTTGGCCTTGTACCACTGTCCTGCTTCAACCAAGCACTGGGCCATTTATATTCCTTACATTGGGGATTCAACCTTGAGAAAGAGCCCAGTGATATTCACAGAGGAGGAAACTGAGGTCCTAGGACCTTAAGTTGCCTGCAGTCATTGATCGGGTCATTGAAGAGAAATGACTAAAATTCATGTTTAAAATGCCACTGCTGTCTCCTGTCTCTTGCTGATTATCTTCCGGAAAGGATCCTAAAAATTATATTGGACCAGCTTTAATCTGAAATCCTGCACATTACAGGATTGCACACCCCAGCTTTGCACACAGAATATATGTGTGTGAAATAAACTATTTGTTAAGGCATTTAGTCTTCCCATTGTGCCCATCAGATTGCTACTGACCTGGGGAAAAATTAGACAAGGCACAAAAGCACAGGTTCCAGCTCCAAACCACGGAAAAGGACCAGTATGTAAGGCCCAAAATAAGCAAATAATGTTATCACTCCAGTGATTTATTGAAACCTCCATGGTTCCCAGAGCTTGTTAGCTTAGAATTTGGTTTGGGGATGTGCAGCCTTGCAGCCCAGAAAAGTAACAGTTGGGCTCTGTCTTCTGAAGGAGTCTATCCAACTGTAGCTGAAACTGACTCCATGCTGGAGAGGATGAGTCAGAGAACACGTGGCCAGGACCCCTCCCTCCTACCACATAAACCACCTTGGCTAAATATAGGTGTGCCCTGGGAAAACTGCCCAGCCAATTCTCTGCTCCCCCAACCCTATGGAGACAGCTGCCCATCAGGGAGCCTGCCCGTAGGGCTCCCAAAGGATTTCCAGCTGTTTGTACTATAGATTTTAACTCTTTTCTGAAAGAGGATAAATTCTTTTCTTTTCTTTCACCCAAACACTCTGACTATACATAAACAGGCAAATCATGTATTCACATGGATAAGTTTGGAAGAAAATATAAAAGAAAAAAATACTTGGTTCTTTGGGTAGGCAAGATTTCTAACAAACTTTTTGTTTTGTTTTGTTTTTTGTTTTTAATTTCAAATTTTATTTATCCACAGCATGCTCAGAAAGTATTTTAGATGTCTTACCAGAGCATTTAATAATATTTTAACGTGATAGATTTTATAGGCTTTTAATGCCAACATAGGAAGAAAAATGCTATTTAAAAACTCTGTAGTATGGGCCAGAGAGCTGACTCAATGCTTAAGACCCCGGCTGCTCTTGCAGAAGACTCAGATTCAGTTCCCAGAACCCACATGGCAGATCAAAACTGTCAGTAATTCCAGTTCTAAGGGATCCAATGCCCTCTTCTGGCTTCTGTAGGCACCAGGCATAAATCTGGCACACACACATACATGCAGGCAAAACACTTACACATAAAATAAAACTTTTAAAAATCTTTTCTAAAAAGTTGGCTGTTAGCACACCACTGTATTCTTTGAGTTTCAAGAATTTTCACAGAATATGTCCCGTACTGATGTTTATATTCCAAAAAATCTGCCATTGTACATTAACACAGTAAATGACATATCATAACTTTAGTTGAATAGAAATTGAAAAGGGGATAGAATCATAGATTTGTTCATTTGTTTTAATTCCTTTCAGTAAAGATAACTAGTTTGGGGGCTGGAGAGATGGCTTAGCAGTTAAGAGCACTGGCTGCTCTTACAGAGGACCCGAGTTCAATTCCCAGCACCCACATGGTGGCTAACAACTGTCCATAACTCTGTTCCAGGGATTGGACACCCTCTTCTGACCTCCGTGGGCATTGTACGGCATGGGTTCATTTATATACATGTAGGCAATACACTCATACACATAAAATAAAATTTAAATTAACAAATAAATAAAAGACTATAAAAGGAGAGCTACTTTCTGGTTATTAAATTCTTATGGGCAATTTGATATGCAAGCATAAGGCAGGCATTAAGTCGAAGAGACAGGAAGGGTTCCCAGGACAATTTCTCTTACTTTAGCTTTAAAATTAGAGTCTCTTTTCCAAAGAAACGTTTCTAAGAGATTGCACTGTCTCAAGGCCTTTGCAAAAGCACAAGAACTGTCCTCTGCCACCAGCATTGCTCAGGCTGCCATTCTCAGAGCTGCCCATGCTTCTTCCCCTCGCAGTGGGCAGCTGGCCCAGTACACATGCTGTGACCCTGTCCTGCCAAATTTTCCTCTGAGAGACCTGCTTGGTCTCTGGGATCGCAGGGTCATGGGGTTCTAAGGTGGATTGACAAACCACCACAAGGTCCCTCTTAAGTTACATTTTAGGGAATAAGAATATTTATTTAGGTTTGCCAACAAAGTTTACGCTATCCAGGAGAGGGTAACTTACAAAGGCATAAACTCTCATGGGTTCTTTCTCTCCCATATTTGAGATGACGCCATCAGTGCGCCCACAGTCCATGTGGCCCGTTCCAAAACGGCAACTCTCCTCCCCTTTTTCCCAGTGTACTCAGCATTTCCCAGAATCTCCAGCGTCTGTCCCTAGTCTCTCCCCCACTAGGTCTCTTGGGGTTCAGTTCCAGCTCCTCAGAGGACACGTCTGTCTAACAGTCCCCTAAGGTGGGCCCTCAACATAGGGGAAGCCAGTCTCATAACCACTTTCTAAAATTGTGTGTGTGTGTGTGTGTGTGTGTGTGTGTGTGTGTGCACGCGCACGCGCGTGTGCCTGAAGCTGACGACAGATATGGATGTCTTAGTTGATCTGCACTTAGTTTATTGGTGCAGGTTCTCCGTCTGAGTCCAAAGCTTGCCAATTCCAGCTTCTCTAGCTAGCCAACTTTCCCTGGGAACCCCCTATCTTCGCTTCCTGAAACTGAGGTTTTAGGGAGCTTCCACTCTTATCCGGCTATTATGGGGATCTGGAGAGCCAAACTCTCACCCTCATGGTTGCCTGACAAGTGCTTTGTCCACTGAGCTGCCTCCCCAGTCCTCAGGATCATTTTTATACATTATACTCATTTTCCCCTGATGTTTTTATTCGCCGATCACCTCCTACAGCCTTCCTCTATGTATGCTTACATGACCCCTTACATGACTCTCACCATTTTCTCCCTCACATACTAATCCAGTGTTGCTCAAAATCTCAGTGTAGCCTACCTCCACCTGGACCATGACCTGGCTGTAAACTCTAAATCCCAATGACATTGACTGCACTGCATGCAGCCTGCAGCCCTCCTTGTCACTGATACACTTCCTCCTCACTAACTAGAGCCTTAAGCATCTGTTTTGCCTTCTTGGTGAAAGTATAAGCTTGTAAAGGAAACTGTTTTGACTTAATTTCACGCTCTCTTACCAATGCAGCACAGAGCTGTGCATTCCAAAGATGAAGGTTTTCACAATATGATTTAAAAAGAATATCTGAAATGAGCTTTGAAAACTGATGCTATTTTAAAAGACTAAATGAGAGGCAGCAATACAAATTAAACTTTCAATAACTTTATAAATTAATATTGTTTCCTAATTTTTCTTTTTGAGTATATGGAATATATTTAGCATCTGGCTTAAGGTATACATGCCCTGTTTAAACACTAGTTCATGTTTATTCATTAGCATATAATTTTGTTCCTTTGTTTTTCATTTTAATGTTTTGGCTTTCTTTTTATGTTTATGTTTATTTTTATGTGTATATTTTGTCTGCATGTACGTAAGTGCACCTATGTCATGAAATGCC